AGAAATATTTCCTCAGTCGATATTCCACCTACAAATTTGGTGATACAACAGTGACTGCTGTTCATGTCTCTATGACACCAAAGCCCGGAAGTTCGTCATCAAAACACCATATCAGTGACGACAAGAACAAACTAGAATAACCACAGAAGTGCACTGGTCCTCCTCGGAGTATCGTCCCCGAGGGACAAGATTCAGGTCATTAACGCTCATGAAAGCTGACTGAGTGAGGTGGTGTCTCCAGACCTACCCACCTTAGGAACGCTCGCTGCTTTGCCCTTTGTACTTCCTAGCATTTTTAGCATGTGTATGTGTGTTCACATGTGTGCGGGTGCATGTGTGTGCAATGGATGTGCGTGTCTGTGTGGAGGCCCAGAACTCGCTGATTTGCTACTTTCAAAATCTCCAGTCTCATCATCTCTACTTCTGAAGTGCTGGGATCGAAAGCAACTGCCACACCCGACTGACTTTTCACGTGGGTTCTGGGGTCCGAACTCCTGCTGTAATCTTTACACCACGTGAACTGAGCCAGGTGTGGTGGCACACACTTTTAATCCCAGCACTTGGGAGGAAGACCTCTAAATTTGAGGTCAGCCTGGTCTACAGAGCAAGTCCCAGGACAGCCAGAGCTACACAGAGAAACTCTTGTCTCAAAAACAAAAAACAAATTTCTAGTGTGTGTATTTGTGTGTGAGAGATAGGAGACAGACAGACAGACAGAGGAGTAGGAGAGAGGGAGATGACAGACAAAGGTGGGGAGAGGAAAGAGACAGACAGACAGACAGACAGACAGACAGAGGGGTAGGAGAGAGGGAGATAGACAGACAAAGAAAGGTAGAGAGAGGGAAAGAGACAGACAGACAGGTTGGAGAGAGACAGGCAGACAGAGATGGGGGAGAGTGAGAAAGAGAGAGAGAGGAGAGAGGGAAAGAGGCAAACAGACAGAGAGAGTTGGAGGAGAGGGAAACAGGCAGACAGGCAGGCAGGCAGACAGACAGACAGGCAGACAGGCAGGCAGACAGGCAGGCAGGCAGGCAGGCAGGCAGGCAGACAGACAGAGGACGAAGGGTATGTGGCCGTACTTGCCACAGCAAGTGTGTGTGTGTGGTCAAAGGACAACATGAGGGGTCAGTTTGCTCCCACCAAACTCAGGTCAGCAGGCTCGCTCAGCAAGCACCTTTACTCACTGGGTCTCCCCCAGGGTGATTTTATCTCCGGTCTAACATCTCCTGTGAAGTGTTAGTAGACCCTTCTCCGTGTTCAGTTCCACCCCAGGCCTTACAGAGAAAGTTCTGTCCAAGCTGTGTGTTCATTTTCAGCTACTTATCTGAAAACAGGAACACCTCAGTAAATGACAGGCTGTGACATCTGCCTGGATCTGGTTTTTTGTTTGTTGGTTGGTTGGTTGGTTGGTTGGTTTTTTCTTGCTAGTCTTTATTAAAGGTTTTAGAAATTGTGGAGAAATTTCTATTTGGGCATACAGCATTATGTCAGCTACCTATAGATTCCCTCTATATAAGACTTCTTTAATGAGTCAACACATTCAATGACATCATGGCTTTTATCTGGACATGGAAAGTAAATTCCTATGACATGTGACATATATAAGATTTTATAAGACCTGAAAAAGAATTATTGGAATTGCTACATACTAAAAACTTCAAAACTCTGGATTGCTTTATTTAAAAAGAAAAAAAATGATAATTTCCTCAAACATGGAATGCTAGGGTAAAAATGTTTTACTGGCCTAACATTTCCATTCAGACACTAATAAGTTTCTTTTCAATAGTGTCCTAAACTTGAGCCAGTCCTGGGGTCTATTGTTGCCAGATCCTTGAGGTTACTAAACAACAACAAAAATATCATCTTCAGAAATTAAGTGGAGGAAAGTTTCAATAAGAACGGTATTGCTCCTCTCTGCCCAACTCTTGCCAACTGTTGTGTGTGAGCTTAATTCCCTGGTGTGTGGGGCAGCAGTTTGTGTTTTAGGACGAAAAAGACAGTTGTATTTGAAAACTTGCAGGAGTTTGGCATCCAATCAGGATCCACGGCAACCCGCCGCCATACTGCAAGCCAGATGGATGAGCTATCTCTTTTACAGCATCGAGCAGCTGTCTTCTCTCGGTGTTCGCATGCCTGGAGTGAAAACCCATCGCCTGCCATGTGCATGAGTGAAGTCAGAGGCATAGAAACAGATTCTTCCCAGCTTCGCCCTATTTCACTTATAAAATATTCTTAAGAGATGGCTCAGCAGATAAGGACGCTTGCGATCCACATGGGTGGAAGGAGACAACTAACACCTGTAAGCTGTCCACTGGCCTCCACACAGATACTATAGTATGTGCGTGCGATAAACCAATAAAGCGTAATTTTTAAATTTTGTGAATATTTTGTTGTTGTTGTTTTGCAACAGCCCCTGGCTGTCCTGGAACTCTCAATGTAGTCCACGCAAGCTTCAAACTCACAGAGGTCCACCTGCCTTTGCCTCTGCCTCTGGAGTGCTGAGATTAAAGATAGGTGCCACCATGCCAGGATAAAATGTATTCTACAGACACGAGCCAACAACTTGAAGGAGTCCCGGCCAGTTCTGGCCTTGTGTCTATAGAACAGGGACCTTCATTTCACCTTCCCACCGACTCACAAAGACTTTACTGCATGGTTTGCACACAGAGGAGGAAACTGTCCTTTAAATAATCAAAAACCCAATAGAAAGGTATCACTTTTAAAAACTGAGGACTGAGGACCTGGCTCGGCCAACGAGAGCACTTATGTGCAAGCACCGGACCTGAGTCTGAATCCCCAGCACCCGAGTAAAAAGCCAGGGATAGCTATGCGTGCCTGTAATCCCGGCACTGGGGGACAAAGGCAGGCAGATCCTGGGAACTTGCTGTCCAGTCAACCAAGCTGGATGGGGAGCTCATAGCCTTGTGAGGCCCTGTCTCAAGGCAATAAAACAGAGAGCAAGAGAGAAAGACACCCAGCTTCCTGCTCTAGTCTTTGCAAGCACACATAGGAAGGCACACACACGTGTACCTACACTACACCATACACACACACAACACAGCACACAGAGACGTGTCATTGGTGTTCAGCACAAAGCACATACCATACATACCCTCAGCACTCTTGAGACTAGCCTGGGCTATAAAACGAGACCCTGTCTGAAAACCCAGAACATAAGGCTGGAGAGATGGATCAGTGTTTAAGAGCATTTCCTACTCTTTTGGAGGACCTATGCCAGGTAGCTCATAAACATTTGTAACTCCAGCTACAGGGAGATACGACCCCTCTGGCCTCCAAGGGCATGCATGTGCACACTCACATGTGCACAATACACACACACACACACACACACAGAGAGAGAGAGAGAGAGAGAGAGAGAGAGAGAGAGAGAGAGAGAGTTTAATTAATTGTATGGGGCTAGAGAGATGCCTCCACGGTTAGAGTGCCTGCGGCTCTTATAGAGGACCTGAGTTCAGTTCACAGCATCCATAGTGGGTGGCTCACAGCCTCCTGTAGCTCCAGACCCCTTTGTCCTCCAGAGGTGCCTGTGCTCGCAAGCACATACTTAACTCAACAGACACACAATTAATATAATAAAAATAAATCTAAAGCTCGATGAATGAAATAAATAGAGCAGCTAGTGAGCCTTACTGGGTAAACCCACCACCACGTGTGGTCCACGCCTTTCAGCTACGCACTAAATCAGAGCCTAGCTAGGTCGGAAGTTTGGGCTCAGGGGCTCACGGCAGACAAACGGCGGAACAGATGGTAGGTCGTAAAGCAACCCCAGCTCTCCAGTGCTTAGGTTCTCCCAGAACTGAACATTTAAACCACAGCGGTCTTCACATATCTCCATAAAGAGCAGGAAAACAGAAAGGGCATGCAAATTCTCCTGAACTCCGTGTCGTTCTCGTGGAGATAAAATTAATCTAAGCCTCAATAAAATCATGGGCTGTGAAGAGCAATCTTTTCGTACAAAATTAACATGTGACTCAGAGCTCCTGGCGCTTTCTGCTGCATCGGATGGAAACTATTTTTGCAAGGGAGATATTTTTTTTCAGCTGGGTGGCGATCTCTTAGTCCCGCCACCCACTGGACCGATTTTTTTAAATGCTCGTTTTTGATAGTGGGGGCCAAGAGCGGCTACAGATCAAACAGACGTACAGAGCCCTCGGATTTGATTTCACTGGGAAATTTCACTGCAGAATGTACTCAGGGATCCACTCACAGAGAGACAGACATCAAGCAACGTGACTCCCGGTCCCAGCTTAAAGACTCTGCAGGTGTTGGTGAGAGGAGAGAGACGAGAAGGAATAGAGGGAGGGGGAGGGGCAAGGGAAAGCAGGGGCGTGCACGCCTTCCGTCTTTACAGTGAACGAGCCCAGCACCACACCCAAGGGAGGAAAAGAAACTCACCACCGTCGGGGGAAGTGGACCAGCCTGGCATCCCTGCAACACACTGCACAAGAGAATTCGTGGGTTATGTTATCTCTCTCCGTGAGAGGGCAAACATAATTTGCAAATGTGAACTGGTTCCAAATAAAACAAAAGATCACTTAGTTCAGTCTTCATGGTCGTGAAAGTCCAACATATTATCGATGGCAAACTTAAGCCCTCGATCCCAATGCCGCCGAAAATGCTTGCTGCGTCTTCACTCGGTGAACAGCATGCCATTAGGAGACTAAGCTGGACAAGGGTGGACAGTCCTCCTTCCTAACAGGAAGCCACCCACACGAAATCCACACGAAGGACAGAGATTGTGAGAAAATTCAGAGCTGAGGAAATCCAAAATGCAAATAAAGGGTTCCTTTCTATCATATGCTTAGTTAGGGCCAAGCTAAAAGGGGTTATAAGGGCTCAGTGGGTAAGAGTGTTTGCGCAAGCACGAGGACCTGAGTTTGAATCCCAGGATCCACATTAAAAAAAAAAAAAAAAAAAAAAAAAAAAAAAAAACCTACTTGCACCACCTTTCTGCTGGGTACCGGCTGCTTGCTGTCAAAATGGGCAAATTCAAGAAACCCAGAAAAGCAGGGCTGGTCCTGGCTGGATGCTACTCCAGACACAAAGCTGTCACAGACCACCCTTACAGCCACGCCCTGACCACTGGAATTGACCCCTGTCCCCAAAAAGTGACAGCTGGCATGGGCAAGAAGAAAATTGCCAAGAGATCAAAGACCAAGTCCTTTGTGAAAGTTTATAACTACAGTTACCTCATGCCCAGGTCCTCCGCAGACATCCCCTTGGACAAAACTGTTCTCAACAGAGATGTCTTTAGAGACCCAGCCCTGAAACACAAGGCCTGGCTGGAGGCCAAGGTCACGTTTGAGGAACAATACAAGATAGGGAAGAACAAATGGTTTTTCCAGAAGCTTTGCTTTTAGGTATATTTTTGTTTCCATCATTAAATTAAAGAAAAAGGAAAAGAAAAAATAAAACTATGCATGTGCCTATAATCCCAGCATTGTGGGGCTGGCTCCATCCAAGCAAGGGATATGGCAGAGAGTTACAGAGTGGGACAAATGTCTGTCTCTAACTTCCAAGAAGGTCCACATGTGCATATGCACATTAATGATAATAAATTATTGAACAGTAAGATCTTATCTGAGCCTTGTGACCTTTTTACTTCATTTTGTTTGAGACAGCATCTCACTATGTAAACCAAGCTGGCCTGTAATTCACTTATTACAGAAACTCATGATCTTTGGCACAGTTTCCAAATTCCTGATATCACAGGGACCCCATTTCCTTATAACCAACAAAATGAGAGACACTTGGGTGTAAGACTGAGTGCTGGATTTGGCGCTTGGAGAGGAGTTAGAAACTCCTTCCTTCCTCCTGCTTTCTCCAACACAGCTTCCCATTTCCTTATACCAGAGCTGGTAGCACAATCTCACCTGATTTTCTCAGCCATTGGTACTTCAACTGTTTGATTTTGGGGCAAGCTCTCTAGCGCAATGGTCCTCGAGTTTCCTGATGCTGCGACCCTTTGAAACACTTATTCATGCTTCGGTGACCCCAACCATAAAAGCATTTTCATTGCTGCTTCAGAACTGTAATTTTCCTGCTGCTGTGAACCATAATAATACAGACACCTGTTTTCTGTTGGTCTTAGGCCACCCCCGTGAAAGGGTCCTTCAACCCACAAGGGGGTCTCTATCCCCACTGCTCTGGAAGCCTGCTCTGCCATCTTTGCGGTAGGCCAGATTTGTCGCAGAGCACGGGGCAGGAGACGCAGACACAGCTCCGTGACACTGCTGACCACAGCCTGGAGAACAGTTTCCAGAAGCCTCCACTAACTCTTTTCTTTTCTTCTTTTAAGATTTATTAATTTTATGAGTAGAGGTGCTTCATCTTCCTGTGTGTCTGTGTACCGTGCGCATGTCGTGTCTGGGAGGCCAGAGGGGGCATCAGATCCCCTGGAACTGGAATTTACAGATGGTTGTGAGCCTCCATGTAGATTCTGGCATTCAAACACTGGTCCTCTAGAAGTGTAGCCCGAGCACTGAGCCATCTCTTGAGCCCAAAGACAAAATTCTACACCAATTAGACTCTCAGAAAAGTCAGTGCATAGCAGGGTTGGTGTTAGAGTTGGGTGTCCTGGGAAAGGATAAGACACACCCCTGTGTGGGTCGTGGGCTCCTCAAGAATGGTCGTGGGTGTCTTCACAGGGGTCATATATATGATCTGGGTGGCCTCCGGATTTACAACTCAAAGGGTTACTAAGGCCCTTTTTTGGTAAACGAGGTCACAATAGCTTCTCATGTAGGAAAAGGTAACTCTGGGTCACACGGGTTGCAGAAGGGAACTAAGATGTATACACAAAGTTGATGTCACGTTTGTGAGTTTCCCAGAAGACTGTAGGAACACATCTGGAAATGGGGGAAGGATGTGTTTGGGCCTTAAGCATGGCTCGTTGGAGTCTAACATTCTGGAGCACGCATATGTAAAAAGATCTATATCTCCATGCAGACAGTTCTCACAGGCGGTTATGCTAGAGTTTTAAAATTAGCAAACAGGGTATCATATATCGCTGTGGCGTTGTTGGACACATGGTGTTTTAGTAGACTCTCTCCTCCTCTCTTCCACCCATTTGCTCCCTCACACCCCTCCCCCTGCCCACCCTCAGTCCTATGTGTCCTTTTGTGTCCCCCACACACAGGCACCTCTCTCTACCCTCTCTTTGTCCCTTTTCTAGGTTTTTTTAAACTTTACCTATGTTTATATACAACACACACACACACACACACACACACACACACACACACTAGGATCTACAAAGAAAGAGAACATGAAGTTTTCCTCTTCCTGAGTTTTGGCCACGTTGCTTAATATTATACTTTCCAGATTTGTTCATTTTCTGCACATCTCATGATTTCATCTTTCTTTACAGCTAAGTAAAATTCCACTGTGTATACATTCTCATAACCCTTCCATCGGCTGATAGACATCTAGGTTGACAGCGTGGAGATCGGGGTTCGCTAGACCCAATATAATTGAAGTGGAGTTATTGGGGGAAAGAACTTACACAGAAACAAGTGACTGCCACGGGCTCCCGCTCCAAGGGTGCTGACCCTGACACCCAGATACTCTCCCCGACCCAAAGAAGGCGCCCCCCGGCCCCAATCGCTTTTCTTGCAGGGTTCAGGGGTCTCTAAGTTTATCTCCTACAAGCACAGTTGGACAGCATGTCCAAAGTCAGTGGTCGAGGTGGGGGCAGTTCTTTGCCCAAGAGGCCAGTAGCTGAGGAGAGAATGGACTCCAGAAGGAGTGTCATCAGTGCCCAACATACTCACGGGAAAAGCTCAGTGCTGTCAGGAGCAATTGTGTCTCATGTCAATGGAATACTAATATTAAAACATTTAAATGCCATATTCTGCAGGTCTTTGAAGTGTTTGAAGGTCAAATATCCATATCTGACTAACCTCATAGGTATAAGAAACATGGGTAACCATCATCTGTAATTCTCAGAAACATAGTTACTCAACAGCTGAAACATCCCAAAATAATTTAGCAAGGAAAATTACTTCAAAAATGTAAAAAAATAAATATATATATACATATATACATATATATTTATATATCAGTAAAGAGATAAAACTGAAATGTCTTGACTAGAGTTAGAACTGTAAAGTGCAATATGATAAAATATCCTAAGTTGTTTCAATATACAAAATGTGTGTGTGTGTGTATGTGTGTGTGTGTATGTGTGTGTGTGTATATATATATATATAAAGATAGTTTTATATTTGTGTGCAAAACATCATAAACAGAAAGAAGACCCTATTCAGTCAACATACAAGAATATAATAATTTATTTATAGCTAATAGTTGCTAAAATTAGTTCACAAGAAGATATATTAATCTACCTATATCCCATCCTAACCATACCCTTCCAATTCATACCCTTAAACTTATCTAAAAGAGATACCCAAGTCTAAGCATAACCTATACCCAACCCCACACAACTTAAAACCAAGGAAGGAAGGAAGGAAGGACGAAAGATTTCAAAAGAAAAAAGCACTCACCCTTAAACCTCAGGAAATTGAATTTTGCTTACTATCAAAAATGTAAGTTCACCCAAAGGTAAAATCAGTTAATTGCCTGTCTTTCTAGGCCATGGAAAGAATAAGTGTATACATTTCTGGCCTGCTTACAGAAGAATGTTTGTAAAACATTTAATGCACTATTTTCTTGCCAATTAAGAGTGTAGGATTTACCCTTCAGTTTTAATATCTTTGCCTGACTCTCATATACTAGTGATATGAGCCAAAGGTATTAAGGAAGCCATTGGCTACACATCTGTGCAGAACTACCTCGCTGGAAATTATCTTCGGCATTGGGGCTCAGACGAGGAATTGGCTAGATTTCCTCTGCATATAATCAGCCCGAGTTGGAGCATGTTTGTATTTGCAGTGCCAAAGTCTGATTAGCTGGCCATCTCGGAGGTCCTGTGAGCTACCTCATGTCCTCTACCAAAGCATTCTCTCTCCTAACCAGATCAGAGAGGTTAGAGCAGACCACTAGGTCATAGGGTAACAGATGCTAAAGGGTTTGCAGTTGGCAGATCCTCAAAGAAACGGGGAAGTTTGGCACTCTTCCCCTCTCAGTCAGGTCTGAAAGCAACGAAGACTCCTAGCATGTCATTTTCCAAGGAGCAGGAGCTTTGTGCACAAGCAACCTTGGGGACACGGAGCAAAGCTCGTTTTTTGTGCTGTTGGCAAGAATGAATGACCAGGACTCCACACAGGAAAATTTACTGGAAGGAGACACCAAGCTCAGTATTTAAAATACTTAGTAGAAGACACAATCACAGGACTCAGTGTTGCTATGATCCATCTTTCAAAAGCCTTTTCCTCTTGCGGTGGCCTCACTGGGGCACCAGACACTGCGGACCTTGTATTTTCCCAATTAAATGTGGGCTGGCATCACAGCCTGTCTGTTAAAGGCAGTAGGGACTCTGAGTGGCCCTGAGGCATACAGTGGACAGTCCACTGGTACTCCAGGTCCCTTCTACCAATAGGCCCTCCTGCCAGATTTAAGAGTTCCCCCTATCACTGAGTTTGTGTATGGTGAGGGATATACGCACATACATACGTTCATGAGGATGTGCTCACGTACGTCATTTCATGTAGAGGCTGGAAGTCCATGTTACATGTTTCCCTCAATTGCTCTTCATCTTATTTTTTGGGACAGGGTCTCTCCCTAAAGCTTACCAACTCATCCAGGCTGGCTGGACAGTGAGATCCAGGGATCCCCCTGCCTCTGCCTTCCCAGTGCAGGAGGACCAAGTCTCCCAGGTCCCACCGCTCTTTCTTCTGTACCCACAGCTAGAGACTTTTGCCACCACGCCATGTAGAGGTAAACTCCAAAGCCAAACAATGGAGTATACAACAAAAAAGGAAAGTAATATACAATTGAGACTAAGTTAATAATGGAAAATCCTTAAATGGCAAATTTTCAAATTATACTTAATTGCAAAGGATGCCATCTGGTCCCATGTGGGCTACTAACAGCTCTCACTGTCTTATTTATTCTGTTCTGTTGCTCAGAAAATACATGACCTAGAGACTGATATTGGTGTCCAAACTTCAAGCTGATGATGGTCAGAAAAGCAAAGCAACCAGGTAGTATATCTCACCTCTAGCTCAGGCTACAAGGGCTGATCAAGAGCTCTCCTCAGCATGGCTGGAGAATTCTGAGACTTCAATGTCCTCCTATCCTCAATGTGGCTGGAGAATGAATGCCTGATACTGAGACCTTGCTCCTGTCTTATATACCTCCCTAATGCTGGAATTAAAGGTGTATGATCCCAGGTGCTGAGATTGTGTGAGCTGTTTCTCTTTAGGTAGGCCTGGATCAATTTTATGTAGATCTGGGTGGC